AAATATAGTCTTAAGGTGTGCTATATTTATGGGATAAAGAGTCAATATCAAAGATAGATGTGTTTAAAAATATAAAGTGAAAATAAAAGTTTCAATTTACAATTTTCTTTTAAAAAAGATTGCAAGCTTTCAGGATATGCAAATCTGATTTTAAATATATATATGAAAACAGACTGTCTAACTAAAATTGCTGAAATGGAAAATTAAACTATACATTATATTTATATATATATATATATATTTCAAAATTTAAATATATATATATATATATATATATATATATATATATATATATATATATATTGAAATACTTATTAAATAAATTTGGCAAAGCCTTGAAAAAATAGCAAGAATGGATAAGAACAGATAAAGTAAGTATAAGAAAGATGGATGATATTTATAAATGCCAACTGCCGACTTAAAATATTATTTTTTAAATTTGAGTGCCATTTTTTTAAAATGGAACAGAATATATGACGGTTCCCGGAAAAAATAAGAATATTACTATTTAAATAGTTGTACATGTCTGAGAGTAAGAGAAGAAAAACATATCGTCACTGATAGGAACAGATATTGTTATATAGACACGCAGCCGTAACAATTTTCTGATATTCTTTTCGTTATGGCAAGAAACAAAATCTAGACAAAGCTATCTTCCCTAACCAGACGAATTCATTAAATAAAATGAGTGAAATATCGATAAAATGTAAACAGTATGAAAATATTTATTAACATATCTCTTGCCAGAATAATCGTTTGATTTTATCGTCTTTAACTGGATACAGATTTACAAATTCTTTCATGATTAGAATTCTTCCGTTTAACAGAATATTACTAAATGGTGAGTTATCTTCAAACTTTATTCTATAAAAGAGAATTGATGCTGGATGAAATTTGGCCAAGATCCGGATATAGTTTATTAACTGGAGATATGCTGGATATGCATACAGGTTCGAATCCTGTCGGAGGGCAAATGTCCTTTATTCGGTTTTCTAGAGCGCGTAGGTCGATAGTCGAAATAAATACTGTTTTACAAAAAACAAACAAAACAAAAAAACAAACAAAAAACGAGGCGTCTACCAAAATACGGCTCTCCACTTAAAATAATGTTTAATAAATATATGTCTGAATAAAAAATGAAATCCGTCAATTCACATACAGACACACACACATTATGCATGCACAAGCACACATATACAGAGTGCGATCGGTAACTTTTCGCCATTTTATATTTTTAATTTCGCGCATGCGCTTTGTTTTTAATTTTGCCGACTGTAACGTAGGGTCTGTTTGGCACCGTCTGTAAGAAAAATGCACAACGACGCAATTCATTCCGTCAGAAATTTGGAAACGGTATCTGTACTGCTTGGCATTCGCGCCGGAAATTTCAATACGAATACTTTATAGTGTTTGAGTGTCAATCTGAGGACAGTGCAGGAGATTTGATAGGAGTTAGATGACTCTAATGGTGATTATGAAGGTATTGTGATCACTAGTGATGGTAACGTTATGTTTCCATTCCATTTTTCCACAGGGCCTCAGACTGAACACGGAATATTTCATCAATTGCCTTGAGGAAGGAGTGCTGGCTGGATCAAGAGGGTGAGTGCTGGATGATCCTATGTCTGGAAACAAGACCATGACACACAAGCAGAACTCAATCTCCCAATACATGAATCCCTTTATTTATTATGTGTGAGCCAAGAGACGAACAAAACTACCTTGTAACACCAAAAATTAATTGAAGGCAATGATTATGGCAGCATTCGCTAACTTAAACAAGAAGACCGGCCAGAAGAGTTGCAGGAGAATCCGAAGTCGTCTCGAAGCCGCGGATGAAGCCAATGGGGATTTAATGAATAAATTTACACTTTAACGTTTCAAAATATTATTGTGCCATTTTGGTAAATATATCTGTTAAAATGAGATATCATAAATTTTATTTTTATTTTACATAATTTGGATTAAAATTTATCCATAATAAACACACACATCTGTTTTGATATACGGTAACACAAACATTTTTAAAAAGAAATATATATATATATATATATATATATATATATATATATATATATATATATATATATATATATATATATAAAAAAAATATAGTCTTAACATGTGCTATATTTATGGGATAAAGTGCTCAATATCAGAGATAGAGCGTGTGTAAATATAAAAGTGAACACTGAAGTCAGCACCTAGAGGTGGCCTAACAGGATTGCATCTAACATGAAACAGACTGTCGCCTCTAGGTGTATATATCTATCTTATATATATATATATATATATATATATATATATATATATATATAATTTAATTTCAATGAAAAAAAAAAGAAATTTTTTGAGGCTTCATTAAAACAATTTATTAACCAGAGAATTTTTTTTTTTGGGGGATTATTCAGACTTCACTCCATAAAAGGTGAAACGAAAAATGAATTTAAAATTTACACTTTTTGACGGGCAGTATTAAGCTTATATAAAATGAATTGGAGGGTGATGAGAATGATGTGAGAGACATGGTAAAGTTTAGGAAGGCAGAGTTTAAAATTTATCTTTATATTTCTTTTAAAATTTCGCTTGAAGATGGAAACCAGCTTAAACTTTAATTTCAATTTAATTCTTTCTAATTATATTGAAGTTTACGGATAATTTTGAATGATGAGAACTCTTATGTAGCGTTGGAATCATATTTTTAAATAAATAATTATATATATATATATGCATGTAAAGATATATCTCATTAAAATATTTATACACGACTTGCCTACTTATTTTCAATAGGATCCACTCATTTTCAAGGACAAGATTATTAGTCTCCTTATTAAAGGAAGAGGGAAAATTCCAATGTTGATATATATTCATTATTCCGAGTAGTATCGACATTAGCATAATGTATTCAGCAGGTTGTTGATTTTTTTTAATAAAGCTGAAATCACCCCTTGATAAAATTAATTACGAATACTGCAGGAATGTTTTAAAATGTGTACAGTAGATAGTTATAAATACAGTGTAACCCGGATATAAGAGAGGGACCGGAGAAGAAGTCTCTTATATCCGGGTTTCTCTTATATCCGGGTTTGGTCTATTTTGTTTAGGTAAGTATGGGCTCTAATTTGGGACCAGAGAAAATCTCTCTTATATCCGGGTTACTCTTATATCCAGGTCTCTTATATCCGGGTTACACTGTATCAAGATATTAAATTTTATTTTTATTTTAATTTGTGAACATTTCAAAATTTAGTTTTGTACATTGATATTTACATTGAAAGATTCATAATTTAGAATTTTTCAACCTTTTTTCACTTCA